AAAAAAAAACAATAAAGCAATCAATCAAACCTTAATATAACTGACAACGAGATATTCTTTATACACTATGGCAAAAACGTGCACAAATCACTCGTTACGTTGTGACTAGCAACGAATAAATTGCTGAATACCTGAAGCAATCATTACATAGTAATCCAGCGACGAAAAGAGGCAAAGACTACTGCCCGTTATACAAATTAATGGATCACTGGGACTCCTTGTAGATCTTCTTCATCGAAATCACAAGATTCCGGTAACAAGATCTCGGGATCTGTGAACTATAAGAAAGAAGAAGTGTTAAATATAAAGCTTCTTTCAGAAGTACGATGATTCTGAAAAACTTGTGATGGCCATAATCAGCTTGACGGGACTCACCTCAATCTCGTTGTTATCGATCATCAAATGTACTCGTTTATGGTAGCTCTCGTGCTGCTCCAGGGATTTGCGATCAGCAAACACTTTCAAGCATATCTGAAGCAGAGCAGGTGTGGTTCAGCAATAATAGGTGACAAAAGCAAAACCGACCTCACAAAATAATGGCCTTTCTATTCGTGCCATAGGATGCTCGATTTCCAAATGATCGTAACATTCAGCTCTCGAGAAGAATTGTGACCTGCACATCGGACAATCGAATCTAAAGTGACATGATAAGGATGAAGGAACAGGCGCAGCCTATAGTTTCTCTCCAAAACATAGTGGTTCTTTTCACTATGCTACAGCATATTGTACGAGTTCAGTAGTCCGCAAAAGCGGAAAACTTTCTACATAAGATGAACCTAATCGTAAGTTTATTTTGGGGACTGACCAAAATAGGAAAAACAAATCTCTAGATGGCACTTACTTTTCGAAAGCTATAGTTCTTGCTTGCTCAAAAATCTCGTCTAACGAAAACTCGTTATTCTTGAGGAGTGTTTCCAGCCTCATCATCTAAAACCAAGTATTAATCTAAGAGCAGCTCTGCAAACTAGTAACCACTGACCTTTGTCTGGAGACTAGTTCCCGGTAGAATCTCGCCTCTCCTGATCTTCTCAATCCATGCTGAAGGATCAGGTCCTAAGCCTAGTTTCCTAGAAAAAAGAGATCACCATTCTAGACGATGCATGAGCCAAGGAGAACCAACTTTTTTCTGGGCCGCGATGGAGGAGTGAAGAATGGGTCACCGGTGCCACGGACTATAATAGCATCATCGGGGATATCGGCTGCGGGACGGCGGTTACTGCAGCAAAGAAATCTTTTCGAGTGAAAAGTAAGAACAGAGATCGTCATAAGTATTCAAATTACTTATGCGTAAACCTCGCGCTTACCAAGCAAAAGGCCTCCATGCTCTTTCCAGTTCATCCTTCGAAGTGACATGCGTCTTCAGATGCTTTTTTAGATTACCTTTCAATCTGAAAATAGCGATTACATCCTTGTCATGTCAACTGCCCATAAAATTTCTTCGCACTCGTAAGACCAAGCATGAGCCGACCCTATTGCCGTTCCTCTCTCACAAACTTATGCATCATCCCACGATTTTTTTATGGTTAGGATAGACTACTTCGCCATGACTTTAGTCGGGATATACAAACAATGGATCCCTACTCTGTCTAAGTTTGAAAATCAAATGGTGCATGCGTAGAGTTGTGATTGGATAATTAAAAAGTTCATTACACGAGAATAGATGGTACGGTACATCAATCGAAGTTTTACAGCTTTGTCAAAACGTTCATGGACCCTAGAGTATCTTTCCAATTTTTTAATTACTAGTGAACCAGCAATGTGTAAAGGTGCTAGATGTTCAGCGCGCGCTGGGACCGCCCTCGGTTTCGCTTTTGGAAGATTTTGGAACTGCGCTTGTGATTCTTTACATGTTAGATGGTATGGGTTCTCAGAATCTCTGCCATACGGCTTCTTTAACATGCTGACAAGTGAGGGTCACAAAGTCGAAGTGGCCGATCACTACAAATTGCATATCATTAGCGAGAGTTTGTAGTGCTGATTCCAATTCTGCTTTTCCTGTTTGCAGAGCGCTTCTGGAAAATAAGTGAAGTGCATTACTGAGGCGAAAAAACGAAGGATTTCTCGGATAAAATCAACCGCTACAACTTCTCTAGACCTTGAATGAGGCAGCGGCAAAAGTATACTTCATACAATGAACTCATTCTTCCTAGTTTATTAGTACGTCCACTGCTCCAGACAACGTCCAGAATGGCCGTAACAATTAATTTTATACCGAAAATTTGTACATTTTTTCGCCTCAATAAATGATCATGACATTTTTCCCAGAAGAGCTCTGCAAATGAGAAAAGAAGAATCGGAATCAGCGCTGCAAGCTCTCACTAATGATATGCAGTTTATGGTGATCGGACACTTCGACTTCGTGAGCCTCCCTTGTGAGATAGGCTGTAAGCCAGCCCTGATAAAAGCGGATGCTTTGATTTGCTGTGAGCGAACGCAGCGGTCCAGCACCTTCTCGATTTCCCCCTGTCAGCGCTCGCACAAGCCTAGCTCCATGATGCACACATGGCTGGTCCACTTCTCACTTCGTTACCAGTCAAAGCAGTGAACTAACCTAGCGAAGTGGGATGAAGTG